TGTGACTCAGTTGCAGCAAGGCGTTCTGAGTTTTAGGTTCACCCTTGTATAAAGATTTTTTTGATTTATATTTTTAAAATCATCTGAGATGAAAAAGTCTCCATGTGTTCTTTTTTGTCTGAAACTTTGACGTCGATAGGCACTTGAGGAAGGAGATGTACTGTGTACCAAAGTGTATGTTTTTGTTACAAATTGTATGTTGTGCTGTATGTGACTGATAAAAAAGTCTTTCCTAGCATAAAAGCTGCTCCCAGCCCCAATAAATCTGGAATAAATTGGGAGAAAGCATGTTATGTTATGACTGGCATATTGTGAGCATTGAGCTCTGCTTGAGAATTAGACTTAAAAGTTTGCAAAGCAGCAGTGCTGATGTCATTGCCTTGGAATGGGAAGGCCGTTGAAACAGTAAATACTGTCTGTGGCCAGAAGCTAAGTATTGAGCTGGACCTCTTCCTTTCTGTGAAGGAAAGAATGCAGAACAAACCTACAATCTGTAGTTGCAATGGGAAAATCTTAATTAGTTTAGAGCTCGTAGCTATTTCAAACCATTTACATACACAGCTGCCGTTCAGGCAAACATGAAAACTATTCATGGAAACTTCAAACTTACCTTGAAATGACAAGGTTTTTTTTTCTGTTTTTTAAAGCTGTTTCTGGTTTCCAAAAGTATTGTTGGAAAGGTCTGAAAATTTATTTGTACTGTACGTGCAGGAAGGAACATAGACATAGGCTAGCAGAAGCATATAATAAAAGGCTTTAGTTCAGCAAGAATTAACACAGAAACTCTGTTAGTACCAAACAGCTGCTGCTGGGAAAGTATTTATCATTTTTCGGGGGCATTTACTCTTATGATATCCGTGGAGTTTTGGTTATGACCCAAAAACTTTCACCCTGGAGTGAGGAAGAAGTTGATGATCAAAACACAAGTTTAGATGTGGTCTAGGTCTTACAGCTAGATCTTCTCTGTTGCAACGGGTTAACCCAAAACACTGGATCCAAATAACCCACAGCTTGGGAATGAGAGCCTCATTTTTTAGCTTGGGGCAGCTCTAATATCTCAGCAATGCAGGGTAACTCGGAGCCTTGTCCTGTCCCTTGGAGGGCTCCGTGGAGCCTTGCAAGGAATTTATCCCCACCCCCAGCTTCCTCGTTTTGCCCTGGCAGATGCAGGGACCAGATGTTAGGGGAAGAGTTAAGAAGGGACAATGACCTGAAGTGTTAGTTGGGTTCTTCCTTGACATGACTGAACTTCTGTTCCCGGTGTCAAATATGGAAAGCAGCTCGTGTTGGCTGCTTGGCTCTGCAAGTTTCACTGTTAGTTTGGAGAGGGAGATGCACAAAGCTTGTATTTATTAGTATCACATACTCAGAGCTCAATTAGCTGAGGAAAAGGAAGGAAGAGATTAAAAGTAAATCAGCTGTCCATTAGTTGAGGACAGTGCTCAGTCAGTGAATCATCCCTGCCTAGCCCTTTTCCCAAGCAGTTGTAGGTATTTTTTCCAATTTTTACCCTCTGTTTAAATTGGAGCTTCCTTTTCCATTGCCCTCTTCTTCTCCACCTGTGACACCACATCAGTGACATCTCTGGGGTGCATAAGCTTCTCATCCCCAAATGTCCCATCTAGTACAACAGTGCTCTGTGGGTGATGCTTAACAGTAATGAGCTAGGCACGATGGGGAGAGAAAAAGGTTTTCACAACTCTAACATCAGCACAGGGCACATAAGATGCTTTTTTTTTCTCCTTACCCTTTTCCATTTCAAAAGGGCTTCTCTTCCCCGTTGGTTTGCGAGAGGACTTTGAGCTTGATGCTTGATATGTTACAAAAGAGGTTAGCAGGTAAGACCACCTTTCTGTGGAAGGAAGGATTGATGGCGAGTCTAGTTGTCTGTAGGTTAGTCTAACTCAGCCTGAGTGAATAATTCTGCTCTTTTTACTGAGAGGAGATCAAGCATCCATAGTCTGAGAATGTTTTATGGCTTATGAAATGAGAAAGTGTTTGAAATACTACAAGAATGTAGCTTGTAACTGATGGCTTCAGTTTTGTTAATAAGTTTGTCCATTGGACAGTTTAGCACTGTTTTTGGTTTGAACAAGAGGCTGGGCTAGATGACCTTATGATGTTTCCTTCCAATCTGATTTATTCTCCAATTCTGCTATAAAAGGCATTCATTATGCTTAATTTTTACTTTATATGCGCTCTATTTTCACAGTGCATTACCTATTAATTTAGGCTTTATATTTTAATTGTTCTTTCTATGTGGTACAGTGATTTTTCAAAGTTTATGGTGAAAGATGCTTCTTGATATAAAATCTGTTCTCTTTCTTTTTTGTTGTTTTTGTAATACTATTCATGGTATTAGCAGATAGCAACAAATGCAGCTGGTCTCTAGGTAGGTTTATGTGCAGGAAATGCTATGAATGTGGCTGTCCAGTTTCATGTGTGAACACAGGAGGTTCAGCGTGGGGGAACCTCTGATGTATTTGGTCAGCGTATGTACAGGTCTTGACAGGTCTTATTCTTGAGAAAAGATGATGCAAAGCCCTTCCATATACACGTTATTGTAGTCATTATCTATGTGACAGGCTGTCCTGGCCTTGGGGATTACGTTTATATTTAGTTCTTAATTTTTCTTTGTATTCACACTGTCACCTTTGTTCTGTGGTTGTCCCATTCCCTCTTTACCCCTTATCTCCCCCCATAATCTTTGAGGAAATCTCAGTTGTCTTCCAGGTTATCTGCATGAATTCTTGTGGTCATCAATGTTCATGGCTGAAGGTTGCTGTGTATTTGGGACTCAAAGCCCTACCCTCTGAGCAGGTTACGTACTTGGAGAATTAATAGCAAAAATATCCATGTTCACACTTCCAATTCCTGTGCATTTTTCAAACGTATTTGCTGGGGATACCCTATTCCCTTAGGTCTTAAAGTCAGCTCCAGTATTTGCAATGGTCTGAACCTTCAGCCCTGACCCACAAGGGCCAGAGGGTTCCTGTGCAAAGCGATCGTTTTTCACGGGAGAGGAAAGTGAGATTTCTTCAGGCTTTAGAGTTTATTTTCCTCTCTTACTCAGTGTGACACAGATAGCATCCTTGCTAGAAAGCAGAGGGAGGAGAGCAAATTCAGTCCACATGTTTGGGATTTTAGGTTGGGAATGATTCATGCTCAGCTTCTGGGGGTTGTAATTAGGGGTGACATAATAACCATAAACTTTCAATAGAATAGTAGCAGCGTTTTGTTACGCTCTGTGAGTGCAAAAGCTGCTTCTTATTAACGTCCTTTTGAGATAAGCCTACAAGACCTCCAGAATTTCCAGGTCTGGGTCCAAGCTTTTCGTGTCTCAGTTCTGCTTCTCTCGTAACACTGAGAGGAACCTGAATTCTGAACCCCCCTAAACCTCAATGACATTTTTATTTGGTTCAACATCTTTTCCTTAGCAATTTGGGTCCCTCTGTGTACTTTTCAAGTGAGTTTTATCTTATGCTGGCTGCACGCTGCCAGTTTATACACTGAATTAATACACTCTAAGGATGATCAGCTGGGGAAAAAGACAGTGATGCAGCCCTCTTGCTCCATGTTATTCCCGCGTTTTTCTTTTCGGAGCGGCCGAGGCCTTCAGGAACGCGCCATGCAGGGAGATCTGCCATTCCCGCTCGGCACCGCGGTGCATTCCTTACGGGAGAGAAGGGCATTTACACTGGAGCTCAGCCACCAGCATCCAGCCAGCTTTGCTTTTTGGCATCCCAGCACATGGAATTTTCAAAAAAGTAGGGATGCTTTTTTCAAAAGCAGGTCACAGACAAAAATAAAGACACGTTCTTCAGCTAGGAGAAGTAGGTCAGGCTTTGGAGGGATCTTTTGGGAAAGCTGCGGATCTGATCTTGCCAGTTTATTAATATTTTTAGTTTCTTGTGCCAAAATTTTACTCTTTTTATACAGAGACCCTGCTATTTTGGTTTAGGTGTATGCTTGTCGTATTCGTCTGCTTTGGCTAGCAAACTTTTTAATATTATGATTAAAAGACAAAAAAATGTTCTTCATTTTCCATGAAGGAATGCTCTAGTGGAAAATGAGGCCTCTCTCTATGCTGTGGTCCAAAAGGGATAAAGCTGCTCTGTGTCACCTCATTATTCTCAGCTCATGTTTTACCTCAGGACGTTTTGGGAAGGGGTTCAGGCCGATTCCACTGCTCAGCTCATCGTTTTTGCAGCACCTTTTTGTGCTCAAAAGAATCCAGCTTATTTTTGCTAACTTTTTCACACCCTGTTCTTTAATGACGCTGCTTGTCGACCCCTGTAAGAGCCACCGCTGGATGGAGGGGTCAGGGAGGGAATCGGTTATTGTGGCTTGTCCCACTGACTGAGCCTGACAAGAAATGACCCCTTTGAGAGCTGGGAGGCTGTGACGAAGGCTTTGACCATTAAATGAATATCCCATTTCAAGACAGATTGTTGTATGGCTGGTGTATGGCAGCTATTCCTGCCCCGCATCTCAGCATTAGGATGGACACCCTGCTCGGCTTGGCTTGGGTGCAAGAAGCGCGTTCGTCGTCCCCGGGAGCAGGCACGGAGCCAGGTTTGCCGTGGCGGAGCAAGGATGCACTTAGTTAACAAACCAGGATTAGGTTCAGCA